TAGACACGCACGCAATGCAGATATATATGTATCCATACACATGATGAAGGCCTAGTAATATACACGCAGACGCATACACGTGCAGTCGCACGAATGCACGCATACACAGATACAGACACATGCACTCAAGCGCATGCATGTGCGCACATACACATAAACACACACATACAAACACACACTCACGCACACACCCACATACACACCTACACGCACGCACACACACATACACACACGCGAATACAAATACACCTATACACCCAGAAAACAGCCGATCAATTTTTACCGAACTCCAGTGAGAGTAATCCCAAAAAAAGCTGAGGCAAACTTGTTGGAAGGATTCCTTACTTTCGACTACGTTTTGCTTGGAAGACTTGCTTCATAAAACTGACCGTTATCGCTTGTTTAGCTGAGTGCAACTTACGCGAAAAACTCAATTTCGTGGATTTTGCAAGAAACTCAACACCACCTGCTCCGGAGGGCTTGCTTTTTAGACCTCGAAATTTCATGCAAAGAGGAAAGATGCATTTTCAATGTATGCAATAAAACCTTAGATTACCCATTTGACGTAAATCACTGGGCGTATCCAGATAGTGATATAGACCAAGAAGGAGTCATTATATCGCAATTACTCCGTTATGCACGTAAATGCTCTCTTCCGGAGGGATTCCATGATTGGGCTAAACGGCTTATAAGTGTCTATAGACAAAAAAAGTTTGATATTGCTAAACTAAAACGTTCCGTTCGCAGATTTTGCTTCAGGAGCTGAGCAGTACTGAGCAAATTCACCTTCCCTTATGATTCGGGAATTAAACGTCTAGTAAGCAGTTTATTCTCATAAAAAGCCGTTCCTAATAATTGGATATAATGATTGTCCGTATCACTTGCTAACTTCCCTTCTTTCCTTCATCTCTCGCTCTTCTGCTCCTTTTATCTCTTTCTTTCTCTTCTCCATCTTGCAAATTAGTTACATGACTATTCAAAACATGACGGTTAGAAGGCTGTACTGATGATTCTCGCTCCTACCCGCATGCACAGTTCGGTTTGTGAATATAGCTAGGGGATGAAACAAAAACTGCATCGTAAAATGTCTTCATACACATGAGATTCACGTGAGATTCATTCATTCTTCTGTTTCATCCCATTTGCTAATCCTCTAGCCCAGGAAAAAACTTCCACAGCTTTTTATAGGTCAGTCACGTTATGCAGAAGAAACAGGGCAGAAAAGAAAACGACCAGAATTTTGCTTTGGCCGTAAAAAAAGATGTGTGTGTTTTTTTTGCCGAAGCTATTTGCTAAACTTCGGCGACGTTTGTGCTGATCAGGCAGATTTCCGATGAAACCGTGGCCCCGGACGATAATGCAGATACAGATGACTATTTGGAAGTAACTGATCAAAGTTACACTACTACATTTTCAAGAAGAGGCTGTTTGAAGAAAAAGTATTTATCCGTATAATTTTAGTAGGAAATAAAAAAAAACAACAATAACATTATATTAATAATAAAAACTAGCATTATACTAACTATAAAAACTAATATTATATAAAACTAAAAATACAAACTAATTCATTATCAATACAACAACAACTAACAATACA